GAGACAAATGAGACAAACAACCATTCACTCTCTCACTCACACCTAGGGACAATTTAGAGTTACCAATCAGCCTAGCATGCATGTTTTTGGTCTGTGGGAGGAAACCGGAGTACCCGGCGAAAACCCACACATGCACGGAGAGAACATGCAAACTCCACCCAGAACGGCCCCTGGACCGGGGTTTGAACCAAGGACCTTCTCGATGAGAGGCAGCAGCTCTACCAGTTGCGCCACCGTGCTGCCCTATTATTCTAATATTATTAATAATTTTTGCAATTTTTACATAATCAGCCATTACTGTTGGCTCTTTTACCAATATCTACAGCAATGCTAAGTCCAGACACTTGCCCTTTCTGGCTGTGGTCGTTAAAAAGCACCGAGGCGGCTCCGGGAGTGGATGAGATTCACCCTGATTTCCTTAAGGCTCTAGATGTTGTGATGCTGTCTTAGCTGACATGCCTTTGAAATGTCGTGTGAACATCGGGGGGCAGTGCCACTGGATCGGCAGACTGGGGTGGTAGTTCCCTTCTTCTAAAAGGGGGACCAGAGGGTGTGCTCCATTTATAAGGGCATCACTCAGCCTCCCTGGTAAGGCCCATTCAGGGGTACTGGAGAAGTGAGTCAGATCGTTGGTTGAACCTCAGATCCAGGAGGAACAATGTGGGTTCCGTCCTGGCTGTGGAACACTTGACCAGCTCTTTACCCTCACTAGGGTCCTCGAGGGGTCATGGGAGTTTGTCCATCCAGTCTACATGGGTTTTGTGGATTTGGAGAAGGCATTCGACCGTGTTCCTTGAGATACACTGTAGGGGGTGCTCCGTGAGTATGGGATTGGGGGCCTGTAGTTACGGGCTGTTCAGTCCCTATACAAGTGGTGTGAGAGTTTGGTTCGCATTGCCGGCAGTAAGTCGGACCCCTTCAGGGTGGGAGTTGGACCCCACCTGTTGTCACGATTCTGTTCATAACTTTTATGGACAGAATTTATCGGTGCAGCCAGTGGATGGATCGTTTTCAGTTCGGTGGCCTGAGGATTAATCTCTGCTCTTTGCAGATGACGTGGCCCTGTTGGCGTCATCGTGCCGGGATCTTCAGATCTCACTGGAACGGTTCGCAGCAGAGTGTGAAGCAGCACCTCCAAATCTCAGGCCATGGTCCTCAACCGGAAAAGGGTGTATTGTTCTCTTCAAGTCTAGGGTGAGGTTCTGCCTCAAGTGGAGGAGTTCAAGTATCTCTGAGTTTTGTTCATGAGTGAGGGAAGAATGGAGCGTGAGATTGACAGATGGATTGGTGCAGCGTCTGCAGTATTGTGGACTCTGTATCGGTCCGTTGTGGTGAAGAGGGAGCTGAGCTGTGAGGCAAAGCTCTCTGTTTACTGGTCAGTCTACGCTCCTCCCCTCACCTCTGGTCATGAACTCTGGGTAGAGACTGAAAAAATGGGATTGTGGATACAGGAGGTTGAAATGAGTTTCCGCGCGTGCGTGTGCGCATGTGGTTTAACACAAAGCCTCAGCGGGAGATATTTATATTATCAGCGGACTGTCAGAGAAAATCCTCCACTCTGGAAGGTGGAATCAGAAACCTCTGGATTCAAAGAGGGGGGCCACTGGTGTCGTGTAAATGAACAGCAGAACTGCAGAGAGAAAGAGTGGATTCACTCAAAATACGCGCCGTGTAAACGGCCCCTTAGATTGGGCAAGATATGAAGTTGTCTTCTCATTAAAAAAACATAAAGAAAAATATCTTGATGCATGCTCATTAATCCAGGTAGGAAAAAAAAATCTAAAAAAAAGTTGTCTCATCATCTGGACATAAAAAATAAAAAAAAGCAAAAAAAAAAAAAATGTAGAAACGTTTCGTCTTT